TTTACAAACAAAGAGACTTTTTGTTTTATCCCCCATGGGCATATGCACTTCCCAGATGGATTCTGAGGATCCCCATTACATTATTAGAGGTTGCCATTTGGGTATCCCTCACTTACTACGTTATTGGATTCGATCCAAATGTTGGAAGGTAAGAATTAAAGAAAAATGAATCTCTCAAAGACTTGTTCAGCTTAGTTCCCCATATTTCCCTCTGCTCCAGAAGATAACTAGTCAAATGTTCTCTGCAGATTTTTTAGACAATACTTGCTCATCTTACTTGTCAACCAGATGGCTTCTGCATTGTTCCGATTTATTGGGGCAATGGGTAGGAACATGATTATTGCAAATACATTCGGATCATTTGCATTGCTCACACTTTTCACATTGGGTGGCTTTATCCTATCACGAGGTGGAAAACATGAATCAGTCTTGAGAAACAATTATTCTCATACATTTAAGACTTCATATAATACAATTTTTTTTTTTTTTTAATGCAACAGAGGATATAAAGAAATGGTGGATTTGGGGTTACTGGATGTCACCATTGATGTATGGACAGAATGCAATTGCAGTAAATGAATTCCTTGGGAATAGTTGGAATCACGTAAGTTACTAAATTTGATTGTGTTCTTGTATTCTCACACACGTTTGTGTCTCAATCAGAATAACCTAATGTTGAATTCCTCAAAGGTTCCCCTGAATGCAACAGAGCCACTAGGAGTCACAGTTTTGAAGTCTCGAGGGTTCTTCCCTGATGCATATTGGTATTGGCTAGGAGTTGGGGCCTTGTTTGGATTTATTCTGTTATTCAACTTCTGTTTCAGTCTGGCTCTCACTTACCTAAACCGTGGGTATCTCTGCCTTCTCTGTTTCTAGACGTTTTGAAGTGAGAGTTCATCTAATAGTATAGTCTTAAATTTTCAGCTCTTGGGAAGCCTCAAGCTGTTATACCGGGAGAAAGACACATCAATGCAAACAATGACCATTCCATCCAGTTATCATCCCGAGGAAACAACTCTCTTGGTGGAACTGCACCCAAAGGTGATGGAATTCCTATATAATGATCACCGTGTTACTTTATATGTGCCAACTAGTATTATTTTTGCATGCAGAGAGAGGAGATCAAATTAGGAGGAGAAGTATCACAGTGGGATCCTCATCCTTGAGGACAAACGACATCGTTGAGGCCAATCAGAATAGGAAAAGAGGAATGATTCTTCCATTTGAACCGCATTCTATCACCTTTGATGAAATTAAATACTCTGTTGACATGCCACAGGTAACTAAAAGCTTGCACAATCGATGTGTTTGTGTATGTTTGAAAGCAGAAAATTACTTATTTTAAGGTAACACAGTCTAAAAGCAAGGAGTGATTGTATAAAATATGACTTGTAGGAAATGAAAGATCAGGGTGTCCTTGAAGATAGATTGGTGCTTCTGAAGGGAGTTAGTGGAGCTTTCAGGCCAGGGGTTCTTACAGCTCTAATGGGTGTTAGTGGTGCCGGTAAAACAACTCTAATGGACGTGCTCGCTGGTAGGAAAACTGGTGGATGTATTGAGGGTAATATTACAATTTCTGGGTATCCAAAGAAGCAAGAAACATTTGCTCGAATTTCTGGGTACTGTGAGCAAAACGATATCCATTCTCCTCATGTTACTATCTATGAGTCCTTGCTCTACTCAGCTTGGCTACGATTACCTCCAGAAGTCAATTCTGAAACCAGAAAGGTTAGTATTTCTGAAGCATTTTTTTTAAGAGTTGAAAGTAAGCAAAAGAGACAGCGAATCGGGTTATTGAACCTTGACTTGGTTGTGCTCTGGTTGTACTGGAGTTTATCTTGAATTCAACAGGAAAGTTGAGCCTACTTTGTGCAATTTCATTTGGTCCAAATTTGATCAGATTTGAACATTATGTCTTTTAGGCTTGACTGCTAAGGAAGCCAAGCTTAAGGAGTTATGGGCATCACTTAGCATAATCTACCAATTTTGTTGTTGAACTGACAAGATATCTTCACATTGCCTCACATGGTGCTGCTAAAACTACTCATTTTGCTATGATATTTTATTTATTTATTATTATTATTTTAAAAAAAAAAAAAAACGAAAATATAAGCTAAATGAAAACATAAATTGTCCAAAACCGGCTCTAGATGAGTTTTACTGGATTTGCTCAATGAGCAGTTCTATATGTGAGCGTAAACATAGTAGAAGAAGTCTCTAGATTCAATTGTTTATTTTTCTCCTAAAATCACCAACTAATCACTATACGAAACTTCTAGGGGTAAAGGATGGGTGGAAAAAAAAAAGAGAGCACTAATGTTGCATTTGACTATTTAACTCTCACTCATTTTGGCAGATGTTCATTGAGGAGGTCATGGAACTCGTGGAGCTGACCCCATTAAAGGAAGCACTAGTTGGGTTGCCGGGTGTGAATGGCCTCTCAACCGAGCAGCGGAAGAGACTAACCATTGCTGTTGAGCTGGTGGCAAATCCCTCCATAATTTTTATGGATGAACCAACTTCAGGGCTAGATGCAAGAGCTGCTGCAATTGTGATGAGAACGGTTAGGAATACTGTAGACACAGGAAGAACTGTTGTATGTACCATCCATCAACCAAGCATTGACATATTTGAAGCTTTTGATGAGGTAAGAACTGTTAATTTATAATAAGAATTAGCTTTGTATATGATTTCATTCTATCATATATGTACAATGTATTGACAAATAAGAAATTGGCTTACAGCTTTCCCTAATGAAACGAGGTGGACAAGAGATATATGTTGGGCCACTGGGACACCATTCTTGCCATCTAATCAATTATTTTGAGGTGAGATGAAATGAAATATAAAGGAAACTACGACTAATGACATTATACTTCTAGCTTTAATTGGTCAAAAATTACTCACTAGCACATCACTTGCTTTTTTTTAACAAGGGAATTGAAGGAATAAGTGAAATTAAAGATGGCTACAATCCAGCCACTTGGATGTTGGAAGTTACTACTTCAGCGCAGGAAACAGCTTTGGGGGTCGATTTCACTGAAGTCTATAGGAGTTCAGAATTATATAGGTTGGTTTAAATATAAAGCACATAATTGCATAATGAGATTGAGAAGCTATTCTTACAAGCATTAGAAATCTGATAAATATTTGAATAGCCTTTGCCCAGTTGCACATATAAAATTTGTGACATTATTTCCAGGAGAAACAAAGCTTTAATCAAAGAATTGAGCACACCTCGTCCTGGTTCAACGGACCTTTATTTCCCTACTCAATATTCACAGTCATTCTTCACCCAATGCATGGCTTGCCTATGGAAGCAACATTGGTCATATTGGCGCAATCCATCATATACTGCAGTGAGATTTCTTTTCACAACCTTTATTGCGTTGATGTTTGGGACAATGTTCTGGCGTCTTGGTTCCAAAAGGTGAGTTATAAAAATAGAATCAAAGCAGTTAAAAAGTTTAAACTATTGTATTCCCAATTTCCATTTTAGTCTAATCTTGAAGTATATTGCAGGACAAGGCAACAAGATCTTTTTAATGCTATGGGTTCTATGTATGCTGCTGTTCTCTTCTTAGGGGTCCAAAATGCCTCATCGGTGCAACCGGTGGTAGCTGTTGAACGAACAGTCTTTTACAGAGAAAGAGCTGCTGGAATGTACTCAGCTTTGCCATATGCCTTTGGTCAGGTATCAAGTATCCATTCACTACAAACTTCACAATTCATGTATATCTTATTTGGTCATGTCCCTTAATGAAATTTCTTCATCCTTTGCAGGTTGTTATTGAGCTTCCATATATTTTTGCACAAGCTGCAGTATATGGTATTATAGTTTATGCAATGATCGGATTTGAATGGAGGGCTGCCAAATTCTTTTGGTACTTGTTCTTCATGTACTTCACGTTATTATACTACACATTTTATGGCATGATGACTGTGGCTGTGACTCCGAACCATCATATTGCTTCCATTGTTACTTCTGCATTTACTGCATTATGGAACTTATTTTCTGGATTTATAGTCCCGCGAAGTGTAAGTCCTTACAATCCCATTTTCCTTTGATAAGATGTAGAGCATATAAAAAGTGAAAACTAACTATATACTGTCCAAATTTTCATTGCCAACTACAGAAGATGCCGGTATGGTGGAGATGGTTTAACTGGGCTTGCCCATTTGCTTGGACCTTGTATGGACTGGTTACTTCACAGTTTGGAGATGTTAAGGACATGCTTGACACAGATGAAACAGTTGAAGATTTCTTGAGGAGATACTTTGATTTCAAACATGAATTGTTGGGAGTGGTAGCAGCTGTTGTAGTTGGTTTTACAGTTCTTTTTGCATTCATCTTTGCCTTTTCCATAAAGAAATTCAATTTCCAGAAGCGATAAGGCGTCATTCCAGTCCAGATCATCCAATACTCACATTAGTATTTGGTTACAAAGAGAGGCTAATATGTAACAATGATGGTTTTAGTTTCATCGGTGCAGGTAGTACTTAAATAGCAGGTTCCTGTTAAATCAACATGTATGCAAAGTCCTTTCAATATGTTATCCCTATAATCCCCTATTGTACAGAAATATATGTCCAATAGCGAATTCTTATGTAGTTAGTTAATTCTTTAGTACATTTCTCCTAACCAGTTATTTCTAATTTTCTTCTATTTTTTGGTGTTGTTTTTATTTATTTTTCTAACAAAGATGCTTTGGAATTAATGCGAAAAAGGAAATGTCTCAAAGAAGCTCTTTGCTACTCTCATGAGAGCAATGTTATACGAAGTCAAAGTTATGTATGTCTGTGAAACTAAAATGATTACTTCTTATTTATTTATGGTTCCAATGGCCATATTTCAAGGGTTTTGATATGCACCTTTAATTAGAGTTTATAATCATAGATTTTTGCCATTTGTTGAATTTGATATTCAGTGAAAAGTTATCAGTTCAAGTACTAAACCTTTTTAACTTGATAATATGAATATTCAACTTCAAACGATGACATGAAAAATTCAAAAGAGAAGCCCTTTTTGTAATCAAATACCAATCAGTGGATGATCTGGAATTACACCTTATCGCTTTTGGAAATTGAATGTCTTTATGGAAAAGGCAAAGATGAATGCAAAAAGAACTGTAAAACCAACTACAACAGTTGCTGCCACACCTAATAATTCATGTTTGAAATTGAAGTACCGCCTCAAGAAATCTTCTACTGTTTCATCTGTGTCGAGCTTGTCCTTAACTTCCCCAAACTGCGATGAAACCAGTCCATACAAGGTCCAAGCAAAGGGACAAGCCCGGTTATACCATCTCCACCATACCGGCATCCTCTGTTGGCAATAAAAATTAGCACAGTAAATAGTTAGGCCTCACTTTTTGTATTCTCCGCATTTTAAAGGAAAATGGGATTGTAGGAACTCACAGTTCGTGGGACTATAAATCCTGAAAATAGGTTCCATATTGCATAAAATGCAGAAGCAATAATGGAAGCAATATGATTGTTTGGAGTCACAGCCACAGTCATCATGCCAAAGAATGTGTAATATAACAATGTGAAGTACATGAAGAACAAGTACCAAAAGAATTTGGTAACGTTCCATTCAAATCCGATCATTGCATAAACTATAACACCATATACTGCAGCTTGTGCAAAAATATATGGAATCTCAATAACAACCTGCAAAGGGGAGAGAAATTTCATTAATGGACATGACCACAAAAAATTACATGAATTGTGAAGTTTGTAACGAAAGAAGACAAGATACCTGACCAAAGGCATATGGCAATGCTGAGTACATTCTAGCAACATTTTCCCTATAAAAGACAGTTCGTTCAACAGCCACCACTGGCTGCACCAATGAGGCATTTTGGAACCCTAAGAAGAGAACAGCAGCATACATAGAACCCATAGCATTAAAAATATCTTGTTGCCTTGTCCTGCAATATACATCAAGATTAAATTGAAATGGATATTGGGAATAAAGAGTTTTGAACTTTTTAGTAAATTCTCTTTTTTGTAGCTCACCTTTTGGAACCAAGGCTCCAGAACATTGTCCCAAACATCAATGCCATGAAGGCAGTGAAAAGAAATCTTACTGCAGTATATGCCGGATTGCGCCAGTATGACCAATGTTGCCTCCACAGGCAAGCCATACATTGGGTGAAGAATGACTGTGAATATTGAGTAGGGAAATAGAGGTCCTTTGAACCAGGATGAGGTGTGCTCAATTCTTTGATTAAAGCTTTGTTTCTCCTGAATTTTTTATTACAAAATTTAGATGTGTAACTAGGAATGGGCAATTCAAACATTTATCAGCTTTCTTATGCCTGTAAGAATATCTTCTCAATCTTATTATGCAGTTATGTGCTTTATATTTCAACCAACCTATATAATTCTGAATTCTTATAAACTTCAGTGAAATCAACCCCCAAAGCTGTTTCCTGCGCTGAAGTAGTAACGTCCAACATCCAAGTTGCTGGATTGTAGCCATCTTTAATTTTACTTATTCCTTCAATTCCCTTGTAAAAAAAAATGCCGCAAGTGATGTGTTGTTGAGTAATTTTTTACCAATTAAAGCTAGAACTATAATGTCATTAGTCATTGTTTTCTTTTATCTTTCATTTCATCTCACCTCAAAGTAATTGATTAGATGGCAAGAATGGCGACCCAGTGGCCCAACATATATCTCTTGTCCTCCTCGCTTCATTAGGAAAAGCTGTAAGCCCGTATTTTATGTGTCAATATATTGTACATAGAATGAAATCATATATGATGCTAATTTTTATTTTAGATTAACAGTTCTTACCTCATCAAAAGTTTCAAATATGTCAATGCTTGGTTGATGGATGGTAAATACAACAGTTCTTCCTGTGTCTACAGTGCTCCTAACTGTTCTCATCACAATTGCGGCAGCTCTTGCATCTAGTCCTGAAGTTGGCTCATCCATAAAAATTATGGAGGGATTTGCCACCAGTTCAACAGCAATGGTTAGTCTCTTTCGCTGCTCGGTTGAGAGACCATTCACACCTGGGAACCCAACTAGTGCTTCCATTAATGGGGTCAGCATGACGAGTTCCATGACCTCCTCAATGAACATCTGCCAAAATGAGTGAGAGTTGAATAGTCAAATGCAATATTAGTGTTCTTTTTCTTTTCGCCCATCCTTCACCACCTGGAAGGTTTGCAAAGTGATTAATTGGCAATTATGAAAGATAAAAAAAAAAAGTGATTAATTGGTGGATTTAGGAGAAAAATAACGACTTGAATCTAGAGACTTCTGCTACTGAATGTTTTCGTGACATATAGAACTGCTCTTGCAAATTAGTTAAAATATAAACCTTGAACAGCATTGAGGACCTTCAGTAAAACTAACCTAGAGCCAGTTTTGAATGAAATTATGTTTTTCATTTAGGTTATATTTCACATTTTTCGATTTATCGAACTCAAGCTCTTACATATCTTAGCATATATGAGTAGCTTTAGCAGCAACATGTGAGGCAAAATGCTCTATTACTCTAAGTGATACCCATGAACTTCTTAAAGATGGCTCCCTTAGCAGTCAAGCCAAGAAAACACAAAATTGAAATCTGATCAAATTTGGACTAGCTGAAATTGCAAAAAAAGGCTTGACATTCCACTTGAATTCAAGATAAACTCAAGTCTTAACCAAGCCAAGTTCAATCACCCAATTCTCTGTATTTTTTGCTTACTTTCAACTCAGAAAAAAAAAAAAAAATTGAAATCTGATCAAATTTGGACTAGCTGAAATTGCACAAAATAAGCTTGACTTTCCAGTCGTATTCAAGATAAACTCAAGTCTTAACCAAGCCAAGTTCAATCACCCAATTCTCTGTATTTTTTGCTTACTTTCAACTCAAAAAAGAAAAAAAATAAGAGCTTCAGCAATACTAACCTCTCTGGTTTCAGAATTGACTTCTGGAGGTAACCGCAGCCAAGCTGAGTAGAGCAAGGATTCATAGACAGTAACATGAGGAGAATGTATATCATTCTGCTCACAATACCCAGAAATTCGAGCAAATGTTTCTTGCTTCTTTGGATACCCAGAAATAGTAATGTTGCCCTCAATACATCCACCAGTTTTCCTGCCAGCCAACACATCCATCAGAGTTGTTTTACCGGCACCACTAACACCCATTAGAGCTGTAAGAACCCCTGGCCTGAAAGCTCCACTAACACCCTTCAGAAGCACCAATCTATCTTCAAGGACACCCTGATCTTTCATTTCCTACAAGTCATATTTATACAATCACTCCATGTTTTTAGTATGTGCTACCTTAAAATAAGTAATTTTCTGCATTAAAATACATACACAAACAACATCAATTGTGTGAGTTTTTAGTTACCTGAGGCAAGTCAATAGAGTATTTAATTTCATCAAAGGTAATAGAATGTGGTTCAAATGGAAGAATCATTCCTCTTTTCCTGTTCTGATTTGCCTCAACATTGTCCTTCATCCTCATGGATGAGGATCCAGCTGAGATACTTCTCTTCCTAATTTGATCCCATCTCTCTGCAATCCGAAATAATACCAGCTAGCATATATAAAGTAACACGTAATCAAAATATAGAAACTCCATCACCTTTTGGTGCAGTTTTGCCAAGAGAGCTGTTTCCTTGGGATGATAACTGGATGGCTTTGCAAGTTTGGTAATTGTTTGCATTGCTATGTCTTTCTTCTGGTACAACAGCTTGAGCCTTCCCAAAAGCTGAAAATATTTAAAACTATACTATTAGATGAACTGGCACATCAAAATGTTTTGAAGCAGAGAAGCCAGAGATACCCACGGTTTAGATAAGCAAGAGCCAGACTGAAAAAGAAGTTGAATAACAACATAAATCCAAATAAAGCACCTACTCCCAGCCAATACCAGTATGCATCAGGGAAGAACCCCCGAGACTTCAGAACTGTGACTCCTAGTGGCTCGGTTGCATTCAGGGGAACCTTTGAGGAATTCAAACATTAGCTCATTCATATTGAGACGAAAACATGTGCGAGCACACAAGATTCACAAGAACACACTCAAATTTAGTGACTTACATGTTTCCAACTATTCCCAAGGAATTCATTTACTGCAATTGCATTCTGGCCATACATCAATGGTGACATCCAGTAACCCCAAATCCAACATTTCTTTACATCCTCTGTGGCATCAAACAAAGCACAAAAAAACATTTTATATAATTTTAAAAGTATGATAAGAATTGTCTCATAAGATTCATTCATGTTTTACACCTCGTGATAGGACAAAGCCACCCGATGCAAAAAGTGTGAGCAATACAAATGATCCGAATGTATTTGCAATAATCATGTTCCTGCCCATTGCCCCAATAAATCGGAACAATGCAGAAGCCATTTGGTTGAAAAGTAAGAGGAGCAAGTACTGTCTAAACAATCTGCACAGAGAACATTTGACTAATTATCATTTGGAACAGATAAATAAGGGAAACTAAGCTGAACAAGTTTCTTTAATTCTTACCTTCCAACATTTGGATCGAATCCAATAACATAATACGTAAGGGATACCCAAATGGCAACCTCTAATATTGTGATGGGGATCTTGAGGATCCATCTGGGAAGTGCATATGCCCATGGGGGATAAAACAAAAGGTCTCTTTGCTTGTAAAATACAGGAAGCTTTCCAACTGTCATGGAAATCTCGGAAAATCCATTAAACATGTTAATAATCAGAGTAGAAAACAAAGCACCAGTATATATCACTCCATCAGCTTCTGAATTTTGGTGCATCCCAGTTCTTAGGAAGAGTGTCATTTCAATCAATGCCATTACAGTAAGCTAAAAGAGAGAAAAATGTATCATTATTAACGAAACTAAGACCAAAATTAGAACATTTACATAGATCTATGTAGGAAGACATACTTGTGTGAGCTTGAAGATGTTGACAAATGAATTTCTCTTCATCAGCAAGAGTTCTCTAGAGATGCACACTTTCAAGAGCTCTCCCTTGCTAACACCATACTTTCTGGTTGACAAAGCAGCAGGGTGACTCTTGCTCTTGTCAAAAGGGGTTGCAAGCTTGTCTCCTAGTGACTGTCCAACATGGAATGATTGGAACGCCTCAGCAAATTCGTGAACTGTAACAAAACTGTAAGGCTTATCTTTACATGCCCAATACTGCTTCTGATCTTTCTTCGATATCACCTGTAAGAATATTTTCATTTTTAGTAAGACAAAATACATACATAAATACATACATACATACATATATACATATATAATTCATCTGTTCAGAATTCATTTTCCTTTTTATTTCATAACAATCAAACAAATGAGATGAATAAAGTTGGATTCAGACTTACTTCTTGCAAGAAGTCAGCCACTCCTTTCCGCTCAGGGCATTTGAAACCCATGAATTCAAAAAAGTCAAGTACATGTTCACAAGGACCCTGATACACAATTTGGCCTTCAGATAGGAGAATAATGTCATCAAATAGCTCATAAGTCTCGGGTGTTGGTTGCAGGAGAGAAATGAGAGCAGTTCCTTTAAGAATGTGGACGTATTGTCTTAGCGATTTCACAATCTGAAATGTTGTTGAACTATCCAAACCGGTAGAAATCTCATCCATGAAAAGTACCTTTGCTGGTCCAACCAACATCTCTCCTAAAACGCATTAGTGGAATTTTTTTTTTGTACCATTAGTGTAAATTCAAGAGCAAAGAAAATTTCTTTTTTGAATTTTAGAGATTGAGTTGTCTTACCCATTGTAACACGCTTCCTCTGTCCTCCAGAGATACCCTTTAACAGTCCATCCCCTACCATAGTATCTGCACAGACTTCTAGTCCTAAAACCTGTAGTTTAAGAAGAAAGGAAATGAATAAATTTGTGCAGTGCTATATGCTACCTTCAGATACTGTAAATAGCTTTGTGGTTATGATACCTTCAGAATATAATCAATGACGACACTTTCCTGCTGCCCTTCTGTCGCTATTGCCTGGATATTCAATCAGAAACAATAAAAATAACACAAGAAGGGAAAACAAATTCCACAAACATGACGTGAAGATTGATTTTAGTTTATTTTGAACTGAACATGGAATCTCATGTAAGGACAAGTCATGCTTAAAAAACACAGCTATTATGGTGGATATTGAAACATAAGTTTCCTGTAGAAAGTGGAATCAGCTTGTGGAAATTCCATGTTGATTCACGAACTCATTGATCTATAAGTATCACATTAGTCTAGATAAGCTTAGTTTCACTGATCTTTTCCTGAAACTAGGGTCAATGTTGTGCATTTCCTAGAGAAAATTTTGAAGTAGTTCCTTTCTTACCTTCATGTAGATATCAATATCAGGATCAGGCTTAATATTCGCGGCTTTCTCTCTTCTTGACAACTCTGCTAACATTTCTGTAAATGATCGAAAAGAACAATCAACGCTTATCTTGGTTGAAGACTTCAACTCTACATTTTGAATGCAGAAAGAGAAGAAATAAAAAGAAAAGTCTTTCAACTTACCATAACGGGATCCAACCCCCTGGCACCTCGCAGAGAATGCCAAGGTTTCTCTCACAGTCATTTCCCCTATATGCATATCATGTTGACTGATGTAGGCAGCAGTTCTCTGGGGTACAAACTCATGCATGTCATGGCCATTGTAAGTCACCCCCCCAGAAAGCTGGCATTAAAGGAAGAACAACAATTTTCTTCACAATGAAGTTGGAACTGATAAGCTCAATCTGTTATATATAAAAGATTTGATGCTGCAGTCACATTTCTTTACCTTAAGATCAGGATCATGCTTTCCAGCTAAAGCTAATAGCAGTGTGGTCTTTCCAGAACTTGGAGGACCTAAAAGCAATGTCATTCTGCAAAAAGACAAACTTTTTATGAACATAATTAAAACTGGGAAGAGAATTGAACTAATCAGAATTAGATTCATGAATGGAGGAGGCACAGTCTCACCTGCAAGGCTTGATGATTCCACTAACATCATGAAGAATAGTCATATGCTTCTTTCTGCTTGGAAGTATATGGAGATGGTTCAATAAACCCTTTTGAACCGAGGACAAATTAGAATGAAGAACCAGTTGCCAAAAACAGAATTGAAGACAATAAGAATATGTAGAATAAGAGCTAGTGAACCATATTGCCATTTGTTACCTCCAGTATATGAACAGCAAAGTTAATGAAAGTTGGCAAAGCTCTGCTCCCTAAATAAGCTTCGGCATCAACATTTAGATGCTCAAATCTGACTTCAATTGTGGGCAGACTAATCCCAACTCTGAGAAATTACATAAAGAAGCAAAAAAGTGCATTTATAAGCAAAAGCAATTATATGATTCAAGGCTTCAATGTATAGATGTGTATGTATGGTTCAAGAGTGAAAAAGATATTGTGATAATGCTTACCTATCAATTCGGTACTTGAGCTTCAACAAGAACTTCTCATTATCTTCTTCCACAAATCTCAATAATCCCTCGAATGAATTCTTCCTTTCTTGAAGTCCAAGGTTGAGAACATCAACTTCACTTGCAGCACCTTGTGAACCCAATAGTAAGCCTTTCTTCAAGCGATTAAAAGTGGGAAGTTTATCGAGGGAAGCCCATTTCAGAGCTTCTTCCTCATTTTCTTCTCTTGAAGATAGTGAGAAAATTTCCATGCCATTGTTGCTCCAAATCGACAAACTGTTTGTTCTAAGACGAGTGCTTGCTTTATACAGATCACCACCATCCATGACTATACACAAATAGGGAAGGGAAAGAAAAAAAGACTGAAAAGAAAAGAAAATGCTTAGGAACACCAACTAGATCTCTACAAAACCCACTATTTTTTATTTTTTATTTTTATTTTTTTCGCAATTTAAGCCAAGAAAAGAGAACTGTGCCAAATATACTTGAATATCAGAGATTGGTCTTACTATTTTCTGTATTCTAATAAGTTTAATCTCTCCTGGTTTATAAAAGAGATTTCCATGCATTGTTGCTCCAAATCGACGAACTGTTTGTTCTAAAACTAGTGCTTGCTTTATACAGATCACCACCATCCATGACTATACACAAGTAGGGAAGGGAAAGAAAAAAAGACTGAAAAGAAAAGAAAATGCTTAGGAACACCAACTAGATCTCTACAAAACCCACTATTTTTTTATTTTTTTATTTTTTTTTATTTTTTATTTTTTTATTATTATTTTTTTTTCACAATTTAAGCCAAGAAAAGAGAACTTAGTCAAATAAACTCGAATATCAGAGATTGGTTTTACTATTTTCTGTCTTCTAATAAGTTTAATCTCTCTTGGTTTATAAAAGAGATATCCCAATTGTATATTCCAAACCCTCCCTATGTTCAAAAGCTATTCAAGAAAATTACACAATCAAGGACCCTTCCTAAATTTTCATGTAGGCAAATGCTAGCAACAGAGGCAGATGTAAAAGAGAGACGGCTTTTAATGCTTCGAACTGAGAGATTAATCACAAATTTCCTTTTATTTATTTATTTTTTTTTTATTGTTGAAATTGGCGGGGAAGTTATATCCAAATTGTAATGCTATATATCTCATGTATAGACCAAGCTTAGTCTCATCCTTTTGTTCGAAATCAAAGACAGTTCTAACTTTTTCTTGCTAAGCCAAATGCAAGCACACACATGTATACGTTGTCATTATATATATGTTATGAGAGGATTGGATGAAGTTATTGAGAACAAGAGAAAAAGAATGGTCGTAAAAGAAATAACAAAAAGGCACTCACAGAAAATAGGAGACAAGCATTTATGTGGTTCGGCCTTAGGCCTGCAGCGAAGACACAGTAAAATATTTCATTGTGAAGTCAATAGAATATACAAGGAATAACAAGGGGAACATCTTCAACAAGAAAACGAAAGCGAGTAAGCTTAAGGGGAAATCCTTAAACTTTGTGAAGATACCCGGGAAGCCAGATCTATACTAGTAATAGCTCACACCCAAAACCCAAATACACCCAATAACTCTATACACATTATTTAGTGTCTTCTCAAATAAATTTAAAATCTCAAAAACCAATCACTCCCCGAATGCGCCACAACTTATTCTGCTCTTCTCTATTTATAAAGAAACCCACTCCATCAATAAGATTTTATATAAAAGTTGGCCACCAACCATATCAAAGTTTGTGGCTTCTCAGCCACACTTCGATATTTGAAATGTGGCTGCCAAAATTTGCACAATAAGGTGCAGGAGAGAAAGTTGTAGGCTGAAGCATGCAAATAGCAGTTGCTCACCAACAGAAATGAGCTGATTTTTGAGCCACCAATGTTGCCAAATCTCCACTTTGGCGAAATAATCTGACTAGCCAACCAAAACTGTCTTTCGACTAAACTGATTTGACAAAACAGAGTAACATATATAAATAAAGTTTTAGCTACATAGATCAAAATTAGTTTAAATCTTCATAAAGTGATTTGACAAATCTAATTTATATATAATTATACATAAATAAATTGTGAGCAAGCAAACTACATATAAAGCAACAGAGCCAAAATATGGATTAAATGAACTAAAATTTTATGCAAAAAAAAAAAAAAAAAAGTGAGAGTGTAGAGAGCTAGAAAGGGTTGGCGTGGAAAATAAAGAAGGGTGTTATTGTTGACAAAAATAAAAGATTGAATAGGAAATTAAGAATGAAACAATACAAGGATATACGTGGTTCGTTCATTTCGCCTACATCCGCCAGTGGCAGTGTTCCTCCTCCTCAGCTCCTCCGTCGTCGCCGTCTCTGCCATCTTGTAACGGTCAATGTGGCTGTAGTAATTCGTGGAGTAATCCTCCGCGGACAGTGGAACTTCATCCACCTCTTCCACTGCCCACATCTTCAGCCCTAGCATGTCCAAATCCGAACCCATAGTTTGAATAAGTGAGTCGGAAGGAGCGAACGTGCGGAGAGAACGAACAGCCATTCGAGAGAGGAGTTTCGAATAGGTTGTGGTGAGGGCTCTTGATGCCATTGTTGCAATCTCTGGGGTTTGGGGGTGAAAGAGACGAGGGTTTTTTTTCTACTTCATCATCAAATGAATAAAAGACCACCCTTGGGCTACCCTCCTAAGGGCAAAGTGGGTTTAATAAATAAATAAATAAATAAATAAGAATGGGTTAATTGTCCTTTTTTAGAGAGTAAATTGCTTTGAAAATACGTTGGGTTTTGATCATTCTCACATAGATGGAGCCTTTTAAAACATGTTTTAGGTTGGACAAGACGACAAGGAGCCCACATAAACTGTCTGAAGAGAATTCAACACTGCATAATTTCTCAAATTTTTATTTTTTTCTAAAAAATATGCAGTAATATACCATCTCAAGAATATAGTTTTAGTTACTTGTATAGTTATCACCTTAATTAGCAGGTTTCCTGGTAAATCAACAAATATGAAACCTTATTCCTAACTACATTCCTATTGTACAAAGATATTGTCAAATACAAACCAAAAGTATAGCAAATTCTAATGTAGGTGGTTACTGCTTTAGCACCTCTTCCCAACCAATTATTTCTATTTCTCTTTATTTTTTGGTGTTCTTTGTGAGTATGCTAGGGAAAATATAAAAATTTTGGCACAAATTTTCCTTCTGAAACTTAACTTTTTAAGCCATAGTTAAATCACTTTGGTATTACAATTTATATATAATTCTCTTTTATAAATTCCAAAACACCATATCAGCATTTCAGGTTCGGAGGAAGTATCATATTTTTTTTTTTCCAAAATCAAATTTGGAAGCATTAATATTGAGGGTACTGAAAATGAACCGGGCCACATATTGACCGATTCATTGGGCCCAGAGCTCGAAAGGGTCATCAGTCCACCCGAAGAGTGGCCCAACAGGCCAAGGCTCATTGAGACCACCTCCAGGCCCAACCTCCGCATGATGTTAAGAGAATCCTCCTTTCATGCCGGCACAGATAGAAGGCTCAAGAAAGATGGGCCCAGCCCAGAGGGTTTTTTTTTTTTTTTTTTGGGGGAAAGGTCCAGCCCAGAGGGTTTTGAGAGAGATTCCTGGAGCAAATGAACGATTCTGAATATAGAGAGCCTTTTTCTGATACTTCATAACTCACACACTAACTTTATTTATTTTTGTGAGACTAGAATGCTCGAGCTTTTATTTTGTGAGGGGGATTATTTGGATCTAAAGAAGGGCAAAATGAGAAGGCCGAAAAGAATGGGTAGGCTTGGTCCAAGCTCAGATTTCTCAAGAGATAGGTAGTCCAAATATTCGGGCTGTGGCTCAATCTGTTAAACAGAATTGGAGGAGGGCCCATTGAGGCCCGTCAGGAAAGTTGGGCAATTAAAGTAGATGACAAGAAGGCCCATTGCGATAGAGAGTGGGCTTCATAAAGAGACATAGACACAAAAGCCCACGGACTCTTAGATAACAAAAAGCTGTCACACAAACTCACTCACACAAAGGCTTTTCAAAGAACTGAGAAAGAAATGTATGTTTTGGTTGATTTTCTTGTTAACTTTTCTAAGAACTGAGTTAAAAATAATAATATTAGAGAATAATCCTTTACCGTCCTTGAAATAGTAATTTATTTTATATTATTTAAATAATTTCATCTGTTTATTTCTTCTTATATAAAACATATTAATAGTAGAGGACTGGTTGGGGTAAAGTATAAAACATTAATAGTACAGAACTAAAGTTGGTTTAAATTGGACCATTAGTTTTGTTGCTTATGTTAAAATCATTTCTCTTTACTTAAGTGATATATATTTTTATTTAAAGGACAATGTTATATGTGACAACACTTAGATTGTCGGTGTAGGTTGAATTTATAAATTTTTTATAATTGAAATAATGATATCACATGAACATTCTGACAACGTTGTTTTACTCGTGTGTTTTTTTCGAAACACTCTCACATCCTCATTCAACTAAAAAATTGTCACAATACATTCCATTTTCATATATTTATAAAATTAATGAACAATAAATTAATTAAACCCACCGTTCATGATAATGCATGTGATTGCAATTGGACTAACATGATGATTGGGTTCTTAAATAATTCCAAAAAACAACATATGTCGGTGTATCTATCAAGAAATATATATACATATATATGCTATTATATTCCGGAATATCAACTATGACTTGCAGATACACTCAGTGATAACATTGTATAATCCTAAGATCTCTCAAAAATTATTAATAACATGAAATCATGATCTTGATTTGAACAAAAATGTATAATATTGCAATATATATATATATAGATATATATATATATATATATATATATATATATATAATAGTGTCAACTAAACATGTTGGACAAATTAGGGGACCGCTGGACAGAGCATGTCTTCTAGTGAAAATATAATGTAAACTAATAATACTTGAAATGAACAAATTAAATAATCCAATTATATAATATAGGGGTCCATGATATTGAATCTCCTGTTAGATCTCATTTTAAAAAGTTGAAACAAAATATATTACAAAACTATGAAAGTTTCAGTCATGAGGGGGACTTTCATGTTCCTTTCACATAACAAAATGCTTATATTGTATATATGCTTATATTGTATATAACAACTCACAGTCACAGAGATGGCACTATGGAGTCCCAAGATATGGACCTTGTAACCAATCTTTTGGTTTCTGGTGGTTCGCCAATAGAAAAATACTGAGGACTTTGTAACCAACTATTTCTTGGTGAATACTATTCGTTATGTGTTTTATTTTTATTATTATTATTTTAAATATTGATGTCACTATCTACTTGATTCTATTGTGATCTTGCACTAGTTAATTTTAAGGAGATGGATCAAATCCTTGTATAATTTTATAACTCCACTTTTTTTATCTTTTAGATGATAATACATGATCAAATTACACATTTAATTAGTCCCTCTAGTCATTCTCTTTTCTATATTACCATTTGTTTTCTTAAGTTCATAGCAAACTAGCCACCGACACTCTTATCATTGAAATATTTAAAATAATACATCACACAATAATTTTTTTTTACCTTATAGATTATTTTTAACTCCATAAAAGATTTCATTACAAATTCTTAAATTTCCAACTCCTTTTTTCTCACTTTTAGAGATTTTTTTTTTTTTTTGGGTAATTACCATTATATATATAATGAGTTCCAACCTACGGGACTGCTAGATTTCGGGTTTACAAACCCGCAAGACAAAAATGGATCAAATGAAGCCGGGAAAAAAACTAAATTTGGACCAAACTTCACATAATCCAATCTACTTGAGAAAGATTTATCCGGTGATTATCCTTATTTTGCATGTAGAAATTCTTCAATTCTCATTGAATTGTCCTGTTATAACACAATGCACCATCAGCATCTTATGAGAATCATGAACAGTAATAGTGTGTAAGGAATTGCAGATACTCTTTGAGAACATGGTCCAACTAAGATAATTTTCATTAGAACCTGAAGTCATCATGATCTGATTTCAAATATATAATATATATATATATATATATCTCAGTGTCAAGTCTAACATGGTACAACTCAAATAAAATTTTCATAATCAACAACCTGAATTCATAATCTTGATTTTGAAAGAGTAGTATAATATAGCATTATATATGTGTGTGTGTGTGTTTATCATTGTGAAATCAGTATGTTGTAGAGATGAGGGGACCTTAAAGATGGCATGTCTTGTTATGCATGCGAATATATTGTGAAGCAATTTACCTATAAATAAAATGAAAGAAAATAAATATATTGTGAAGCAATACATGAAATGGCCAACAAGGAGTCAGGGGACCAACAAAATCTCTATTCCAACATTCATACAATGACACAAATTAAGTTCATTGTGTCATCTGTTGTATAGACATTTGATTAGAAACCTTTAATTTGATTGCCTTGTTTGTTTTGTTTGTATGCTTTTTATATAAGAGCATAAAATACATTATTAACATTACAATTTACAAACGAACAAAAAAAAAAAAAATGGTCATTGTATATTTTGAATGTCAGTAACTAATTGTCATCATAATGAAAGTTACACGATTCTTTGTTATTATATATATATATATATGTATGTATGTATCAGCAATGACTTCATTATCATGCATACGAATGTGATTGGACTCGCAGTACTCATTGATAACTTTGTATAATTCTAAAAATATTTATATATTTGTATGTAATAGTGTCGGCTATACATGTTGGACGAAGGGGGACCGCTGACCAGATCATGTGGTGATGTGCAAATATAATGTTAACTAATAGTACATGAAATGAACAAAATCATCTAATTATATATTGAAGGAACCATAATATGTCTTATTTATAAAAATTGAAACAGAAAACATATTATAATACAATTTCACTGTCATGAGATTTTTTTTTTTTGGTTAAAAAAAAAAAAAAAACTGTTATGGGATTTTCATGTACCTTTTGACAACATCATACACACACATATATATATATATATAAAACAAGTCATAAGGATGACACAACGGAGTCAAATGATATGGACCTTGTAACCAACCTTTTGGTAAATTTGGCTAGCTCTCTGAACATTTTTGTATTCAGCTCACCGATAATCATATTGAGAAGGACTTCCTAACCAATTATTTCTTGGAGAATACTACGTAGTAGTTGGTATGCGTTTTTTATATTCATATCAATATATATATATATATATATATATATATATATATATATATATATATAATATGTTTCATTCTATTGTGACCTATCACTAATTTTAATATTAACCTGGGTACGATCAAATCCTTATGTAATTCATTATCTTTTAGCTGGTACCACATGATAAAATTACTCGCTCAGTCCCTCTCACTAGCTACCTTGTAGATTGCAGATCCATTCTCTTTTCTATATTATTATTTTTGAAGGTCAGTCTCTGCCGTCTACATTTTGTAAGACAATTTAATTAACTTCCTAGCAAATGAGCCACCAACGCTTGCAGCCCGTTTGACATAGGTTATGATATATACATATATATATATTTTTTATATTAGTATAAAAATTGGGTCTATATCATGTTTGGAACGATATTAATTTAAAATAGTTCATAACATATTAGATTTTTTAACCTAAACTTATATCACCAAATTAATTATATTGTGTATTTTGGTAATGTAATAAACAAAATTTTGTTACAAAATATGGTACCGATTTCTACTCAAAACACTCCTACAACAATACGGTTGTTTTGGTATTGATAAAAACATAACATCTATAACGTCTAAAACACATCGCTTAAGATGACTAAGGAACGAGGGTACCTTGAATCCATAAGGACGAAAAAAAAATTCGCAAGGAATCTGATAATGTATTAATAATTGAATTAATAATCTGCTCTGCAGTACATATATTTATAAATAAAAATCCTAACAACATATATAAAGGAAATTCTAAAAAGAAACTAGCATAGTAAGGAAACTGTTCAATAATAAACTTGTTCGGAATATTCTTTAAAAATAAGGAAAGAAACCTAATTACTAAAAACTATTAAATATCAAAAAAGAAAGTAAATCGAATCCGTTTAATCTTCTAACGAAAATTCCGAAATATTCAAAAATGAGAAAACGCCATTCTCCAGTCCTAAACAATTGAATTCGGCCAAAAGGCTCCTACTATGGCAGTTTGCTGTAGATATCTAACGAGTTGGGCCGTTTATAATAAAACTGAATTCTTTCTGGGTTAAAAACAAATTCCTCGAAATCATTCGATAAAAACTGATTAGTTCGCCCGTTTAACCTTTTTATGGTCCAAACGAATTTCAAAATCTTCAGCTAACTATCATGCATCACAGAACCTTAAATACAAAAAACTAAGAATAGAATCACGAAACGAATAAATTTTATTATAAGTTTTCAAGCTCCAAAGTACCCCATATCTCTCTCTCTCTCTCTCTCTCTCTCTACGGCTTTCATTGTTGTCTTTTACACGACTCGAACCTTATTTCGGACTACAACTTTACATAATCCAATCTACTTGAGAAAGATTTGTCCATGGATTATCCTTATTTTGCATTTAATGATGCCTTTTCATTCAAGTGTTATGTTAAAAACTTAAAACACAAAGCACCATCAGCATCTTACAATAATCATGAACAATTATAGCATGTGTGTGTGCGTGTTCGTGTATGTATCGCGCATGGTCCAACTAAGATAATTCTCATTGCAACCTGAAGTCATTATCTGGTTTCGAATGGATAGGGTAATATAGCAATATATATATATATCTCAGTGTCAAGTCTAACATGGTACAAATCAAACATAATTCTCATAATTAACAGCCTGAATTCATTATCTTGATTTTGAAAGAATAGTATAATATAGCATTATGCACATGTATATCATTGTCAAATAAACATGTGTAGATGAGGGGACCGTTAAAGAGAGCGTGTCTCGTTGTGCGAATAGATTGGGAAGCAATTTACATGAAATGGTCAACAAAATCACCAATTATTGGAGGGGACCATGGTCCTGCTCTCTTATTCTAACATTGATGCAATGTTACAAATTAAATTCATTTTATCATCTGATGTAAAGACTTTTGATTAAGTACAGGGAACAAACAAAAAAACTCATAATGATTGCGTCGTTTATATATATATAATAACATAAAACGCGTAACATTACAGAAAAGAATAAAAGAAAAAAAAAAAAAATTGGTCACGATGATAAGTACACCAAATTGTATGTTTGAATATTACTAACTATTTGTCTATCATATAGATGGTACTTACTACTTACATGATCGGTACATATATAGATGTCCCTCAGCTGTGACTATATTATACTGTATGGAAACCTGGCAACATAAGGAATCTTAAAAATAAATAATAATAATAAAAAGTCCAAAATGGCACTATATTAAAAAATCACTAAAAAATAGAACATAAAACCTAATTAAAATATGGTGGAATTTGGTTGAAACTGTCCCAAAATATATATCAGCCCTAATAAACAAAGCCTAAAACTTTTGGTTAATTGGCTTCCTATAGCCTCGAAAAATGGCAAACCCTAAATAAAAGTATTTGGCCGAAACTGCCCCCCAAAAGCCCTGCTTCCTATAGAACTAAAAAAATGTCAAAATGAAGCCCTAAATTGCCGAATTGGCCGAAACTATCCAAAAAAAAAAATGTTAGCTAGCCTCTCTGGTTGGCATTTTCGCGGTTCAAATGATTCCCAAAGTGACCGACAATCCATTCTAAATAAAAAAATGCAGAGTGAAGGAAAATGTATAAATTAATTGAATTATTTTTATATCAAGGGCAGCCTCAGTGCCTCAATGGTACATTATTAACTTCCCAAAGTGGATGGTGAGAGTTTGAGTCTTGAGTAATGTGTGTGTCAATTTCTTGTCAATAACACACACAAAATATATATATATATATATATATATATATATATATATAGAATTATCTTTATTTTGCATGTCACAATGTATTCTGCTTCGATTGTCCTCTTATGACACAGTGCAGTACCAGTAACATATTATAAGAAACGTGAACGATAGTAATGTGTGCATCTCATAGCTGTTCCTTAGTAACATTCAGCCAGAGTGAGTAGGTGAGAAAAGAATCTAAGTGATTCATGGGTTCCCTCACAGTGCACAAACTTCCCATTATTGACTTCACTAAGGAAAACCTGAAGCCTGGTACAAGTTCTTGGCTCACGGCACGCCATGCCGTTACTCATGCCCTTGAAGAATATGGCTGTTTCATAGCAATTTATGATAAAATTTCATCAGAGCTTCATGATGCAGTTTTTAGGTCATTAGAACAATTGTTTGATCTCCCCACTGCAACCAAAGTCCAAAACAAGTCCAGTAAACCCTTGTATGGCTATGTAGGTCAAATCCCCATCATTCCTCTTTATGAAAGCTTGGGCATTGATTATCCAAATACACCTCAAGGAATTCAAAGTTTCACAAATGTCATGTGGCCTCATGGAAATGATGCTTTCAGGTATAATTCAATCCTTTTTTATTTTTTATTTTTTTATGAATGAGTGTTCTCTCTCTATCCGTATCTCTATCTATTGATGTGTTTGGGTGCAGTGAAAGTCTGCTCTCCTACTCCAAGGTAGCAGCAGAATTAGAACAGTTGGCGGTTAAAATGGTATTTGAAAGCTATGGTGTGGAGAAATACTATGAGTCTTACCAAAGCTCAGCCAATTACCTCTGTCGAGTCATGAAGTATAGAGAGCCCCAACCGAATGAGACTAATAAGGGCTTTGTCTCTCACACCGACAAGAATTTTATGACTGTACTTCATCAAAATCAAATTAACGGCTTGGAGATTAAAGCAAAAGATGGCGAGTTTTTTGGTGTTGACTACCTTCCTCAATCTTTCGTGGTCATGGCAGGTGATGCGATCATGGTAAGTTCACTATCATTTTCTATACGTACACACATTCATATATGTGTGTGGAAAATCGTACTCTCCCCATCGAATGGAGAAAGCCTGTAATATCCTCAACCAATGGACAAACATCGAAACTTTCAATTTGTCAGAAATTGAAAATTTTTGTCCTTTTATTAGTTGGAATACTACGTGTAAGTACTCGGGTATTGTAGACTTTCTCCATTAAATAGGGAGACTTGAACCCTCGACTTTTCACTTTGAATGGCAAAAAAATTCTCTCAAGTCTTTAGTTTACGGAGGTGCTCTTCTATGGGTTGAGAAGTTAGCATTGTCCAATATATATTAGTTGATTGTGCTCTTTAGATTGTAAATAGTTAATATTTTGAGAAAATGAAAGTGCATATATATATATATATATATATATATATATATATATAATTTTGGACGTTGAAATAGGCATGGAGCAATGGGAGGATACAATCTCCTCATCACAGGGTTACTATGAATGGGAATGCAGCAAGATATTCTCTAGCACAGTTTTCATTCATGCAGGGGAATAAGGTGCAAACGCCGGAAGAGCTAGTTGATGAAGAACACCCATTGCTGTTTAATCCATTCGATCATCTTGATTTTCTCAAATTCTATAGTGAAGGGAACAATCGCTACTTGGAGTGTCCTATTAGAACCTACTGTGGTGTTTAAGATGTCTCTTTCAATTTCTAGCAACTTAATTTGTTATATGTTTGTTTATGCACTACTGTATAATAAATGATGGCTTGGTTAATTTGCTTTGTAAGTTGTTATGTACTATCAAGACTTTGTGAACTTCCTACTATTTCAATAATATATGTCTGTCCTGTCTAAGTTGTTTGTATAAACATCTTCCAAAATTTGTGTTGTGACTTGTGGAGTTAACACTGAATTGGGTAACATTTTCGAAGTGAAGAGAACTCCTACTATTAATATATAGAGAGTATGTACTGTTACAATGGATATTTTCTGCCCTCTAATTAGTCATTAATAAATAAAGATAAAATATTTCTCCTTTCAAAATGTTTAAATGAATGATTAGCACATTAATTGATAATAAAACTGATTGAGTCTTTTATCAATTTACATATACAAATCTTGATTATCGGCTTTCAAGGTTGCCCATAAAATAAAATAATAATAAAAAAATAAAAAATATTGCCCTGCATCAATGTAATTAATTAGTAACAATTGGTATTAGCCTAGATCTATTAGAATCAATATCGAACTTGCGAGTGTGTGCTGTGTTTTATTGAACTTGTGAGAATAAAAAATATAAAAAAAAAATTAGTGTTACCTTTGCCCTAAAAAAAATTTAGTGTCCTGTTTTGGAAAATGGGTAATATATACCGTCAAGGGGATATTATTTCAATTACATTTAACTGTATATACTCAATTTTTATCTTTTTTCTTTTGTCATTGGCAAAAAATTCACACACCCACTTTACTCTTTTGAAAACTCGAATCCTCGTCATTTACTTTGGGAGGTAGATGAGATATTATTTAGTCAGATGAGCCTTTCTCAAAGTATATATACTATGACTCGTATTTAAATAAAATTATATTACAATTGATTTATAAAATTTTATAACTTTAGTTAGATAGTAATAATATATATCATCTGGTGGAATGAGTTGTTAAAAATGATATGAACTAACTGGAAGTGTGGCCAATGAGGACATTGGGCCCTGGGATGATTGTGGTGTCCTTATGGGCATGAGTGTGTGGGCGAGTGCAAGCAAGAAACTAGCAGGTTACAGGTGTATGATCTCACATCGTCTAGGTATGAAAATAGAATTGGTACATTTCAAATGGTATAAGATATTTTGGGATAAAATTTAAAAACAAAATCGTGAAGGCTCGAATTTAAAATAAACAATATCATATCATACCATGTAGTGAAATACATTTTTATAAACCAATTGTTACAAATTTATTTATTTATTTATTTATTTTTTTATTTTTTCTATTTTAACTTTGCATCGACAATAAACATACTCACTTATTTATTTGAGAACTAAAATCATAGGCCTTTTATTTTTAAAGCGAGAGAATACCACAACTTTTGGTGGTACATGTTATTGCATTGAGACATTTTTATATGTTTAACATGTTAGAATAAATAATATATATTAATTTATCCTTTTAAAAAAAATTGCTAATTAAAACGAGCACAGAGAAATCCAGATAAGGACGAAATTTATAACAATTGAGAAAACTTTAGAAGAATAAGAAAAGGCTCGGAAAAAAGAGAAGTAATTAAATTAAATTAATTCTAAGAATTGGAGAGAGTTTATGCTTTAACTTCAACCCTTTTATATAGGCCACATAAAATTTTGGAGAAAGTGTGCAACTGTATGATCTATATATATATATATATATATATATATATTATTGGAAACTGACAATGAAATTCTTTCTTTAATTTTTTTTCTCGTTAAGCTGACAATGAAATTATTGGCACAACCTTATATATGAAGAGCTTTCTCATGAGCTTAATTTACTTACATGGGGCCTTAGGGAACATAGAAAAAATGATACCAGAAGAGATGCTTGGACGAAAAAAAAGTGACAAAAAACTTTATTTTTTATTTTTCCGGAAGGTAGGAAGAGGGGACAATTATTAGAACAAAGTCAGTCAATCTTTGTTTTACAAAGAGAGAAATTAATACTAAATTGAATGGTCCTCCACCGACGTACATGAATTACTTGTTTTATTCGAATTTTGAGGTGGTTTGGTAATATAAGATTTCTAAATCTGAAGGACGGTGCCCAAAAAATATTTAGAACTCAAAGGCATCTGTCTTGTGTGAGGGCATCATAGTCTTGTTGATTCACATAGGGAAGAGGACCACATTCCCAATCTCTTACACTTTGTTTGATATCGTTTTTTATTTTTTAAACTTCTGAAAACGAAAGCAATGTAATTTGGGAACCTAGTTGTTTTCTGTCATTTTAACTAATTTTATATTTTTAAAACATAATTATTATATGATTCTTGAATTATTAAAACTAAACGTACTAATCAAAATTTGACACAAAAGTAAATATATCTTGTCAGTGTGGCCTTGTATAAAATATAAAAGAAATTATACGTTTGTAATTTTGTAGTGCATTAGGACAATTTTATTTTAGTTTGGTTGCTTTAGAATATTCCCCTTCATTAGCTTCCAAATCAGAAATAGAATGTTTGGCCAAGGACTTGGGACCCATTGACTTATTGTACTTGTTGGATATCTTCAATACCATCTCAGTTGCCGTCCTATTACATAAACATGGAATTAAAATCCAATTAAAAGAAAGTATAGATGAAATTATGAGTCACATACACATGCAATGAAATTATATACGTAAATGATATAAATAAAGATTAAGAAAATAATTCAGTATTTTGATGGTATATATTAATTTAGTTTTATATGAGGTACATCCACAATACAATTCGGTAAAAAAGTATAGATGTAAGCAAACAGACTTACATATAATTTAAAAATATAAATAGTACAGAAAAGGAAATGGGTCCCACACAACCATCAAGTGGATGGGGAGCCCTCTTTGGCCACTTAATCATTTTTCTATATAAAAGGAGGTATGTATTGAACTTGTTCCTACCCAAAGAAGCCTCTAAACATAATTTGCTAGTTGAGAAAACAAAATAACAATTACAAAAAAATGGGTTCCCTATCACCGGCCAAGCTTCTTGTTGTGGACTTCACCAAGAAGGGAAACTTGACGCCCGGTACGAGTTGTTGGTCGTCGGCCGCCAACGAAATCCGGCATGCCCTCGAAGAACAAGGCTGTTTCATAGCCATGTATGATGGAGTATCATCAGAGCTTCACAAAGCAATATTCCATGCAGCAGATGAGTTGTTTGATCTTCCCCCTGAAACCAAAGTCCAAAACGTTAACGAAAAGCCCTACCATGGCTATGTAGGTCAAATGTCCTACATTCCCCTCCATGAAGGCTTGGGCATTGACTATGCAACCACACTTGAAGGAGCTCAAAGCTTCACCGATCTCATGTGGCCCAATGGAGGAAACAAGTATTTCTGGTATAATATATAGATATATATATATATATACCATTTTTTTTTATATAATTTTAGAAACTTCTACATGCTAAATCATTTGATTTATATTTTTCAAAGCTTTTTATTTTTTTTTAATTTTATTTTGAGTTTTTTTTTTTTTTTTTTTTTTTTTTTTTTGTAGAGATTTAATTTCCACTCTATTTGCAGAGAAAAACTGTCAATTAAGCAATTAAACCAATATTTGATTTATGAATTCTAAAAATAAAAAAACAGTTTACACAAAACTATAAAATATAGTTATTTAAAATTAAGACTTATTTTTTCTGTTTTTCTAATACAGTTCTGCCAGGGGAAAAATTAAGCCTTATTCTATTTAACTCAGTTTCAAAAATAAAATAAAATAAAATAAAATAAAATTAAAACAAAATTTCAAATTGTTTAAGCTTTTCTTCTCTTCTCATAAATTGAACTAAACTGGAATTTTCTTCTCTTCTTTAATATTAACCAGTATTATGTGTTTTGGTCAGTGAAAATACGGTGTCGTTTGCGAGGACAGTAGAGAAATTAGATCACATGGTGGTAAGAATGCTATTTGAAAGCTATGGTGTGGAGAAATACTGTGAGTCTCACATTGGATCAGCCACCTACCTTCTTCGATTCCTGAAATATAGAGCACCCGAATTGAATGAGACTACTTTGGCTTTTCCCTCTCACACGGACAAGAGCTTTCTCACCATACTCTATCAAAATCAAGTTTCTGGTTTAGAGGTCCGAGCTAGAGATGGCGAGTGGATTAATGTTGAGTTCCCGCCCAATTCCTTTGTTGTAATGGCAGGCGATGCATGCAAGGTCTGTCAATATACTAGTATATCTATCTTCTATTTATGTTTATGTATGTATGTATAATAAATATATTGTGACCTTACACATCACCTTTATAGAGAAGTTGCTGATATTTTTAAAAGATGTGGAACTAATTTTATTTTTTGGTAAGTAACATGTGCAACTAAATTATATACATCTGAGAAAATGAAGATAACGCTATCGCATGCATGCAAATTCAAGAAAAAATTAGGACTTATTTGATACAGTTCTCTCACATTATTTTTACTTTTTATTTTTTTAAAAGTTAAAATTAGAAAATTTTACAAAAATTAGATTTTTCTGAAATTAACTGGATTTTATTTTCCGTGAACCATTTTCTATAATTCTCTAAAAAATATTTTTCTTTTTACTGAGTTCTTGAAACCTATTTAGAAACCCCCTTGTTATATAGAAAATATGCAATAAACACGCACCCATGCTATTTAGTATGTAGATATAAATCCCTATAGTTTGAAAATTTGTAGCAAATTGCCTGTTTATCAATTTGACCCTTTCCTTTCCTTTTTTTTTTTTTTATTTATAAAACTCCAAAATACCCTAAATAAAATTTATACATATATATGTTTTTTATTTATTTTATTTTACTTTAAGGATATTTTAGGTATTTTAGTCGCACTTTACCCTTTAAAGATCGGTAATTGATTGATTACTTGATCATGTACTGAATGATATTCATGAAATGAATGCATCATGCATGCTTTTCTTGGATGTATAGGCATGGAGTAACGACAGAGTACTTTCTCCTAACCACAAAGTCACCATGGATACTAAGGGTAAGGAAACCAGATACACGGCGGCTCTGTTTTCATTCCTCAGCAGCAATGTACAAGTACCCGAAGAGCTAGTCAACGATGAGCACCCCTTGCAGTTCAAGCCCTTTGCCCATGTCGATTTGCTCAATTTCTATAACACTGATCATGGTCGGAGATCACAAGATATTCTCAAAGACTTCTGTGGTATTGCTGCTTGAAGAGTTAGTTTGTCTAAATGTGTGTTTATAGTTGTACTGTGGGTGTTTTTTTTTTTTTTTTTTTTTTTTTTTTTTTTTCAGGCATGTCCTGATTGCAGCAATGTTTGTGTTCTATAATAACAAGGCTCTTCGAGTTCTTACGGCTTGTTTATGAATAATTGTTGTGTTTTGTCGGATGTTATGCTGAAATGTAAGCGAAAGTGTATTTTTGAAGTCAGTTTGTGATCAATATTATATATATATATATATATATATATATGTGTGTGTGTGTGTGTGTGTGTGTGTGTGTACAATGATTTTTGGTTCTATCAAGACTTTGAATTCAGTACAATTATGCAAATAAATCAATGTATATAATAGACCATTGCTCTAGGCCTGTCAGCCAATTATGCGAATGGATATATATGTATATTTTGCACGAATGAAGACATAATAAACAAGGAAAATGTTATATGATCTAATCATACATGCACACAATAAAATTAGAATAATAATAAATAAAGAAAATAGTATTTTTTTTTTTTTTGGAATAAATTCAGTTATCTTCTTTGTTTATTTATTTATTTATTACTTTTCTAATTTTTAAATTACAAATTATATGTGCATGTGTGATTGGATCATATCATCAGTTAATAGAAATCACTTATTCATTGCTGATTAGGGAAATAACTAAATATTGTTCAAATAATAGTTGTAACAGCTATTTGGTTAATTTCACGTACTACTTTAAGAAACTATTATATATATATTTTTTTTGTATACAATAATGTTCAACTGCTCCCTAAACAGCAAGGAGCAGTTGTACATGAATTTAACAAAAGCCTAGTGATGTAATCTAAGGATTAATTAGTTAATTGCACTACTTTAAACAACTACTATTCTTTCCGTTACATTAGACATGACAAAATTGGACAGTCTATTAAAAGGCAAAAAAAAAAAAATCTTGCTCGCTTTCTCTACCATTCATGCAAAGAATTGAGCCTTGATGAATCAATCAATTAGCCATTAGTCGGATGTAGCATATAACTACGACTACTATAAATATAATATAGAGTAGATATTGATTAAATTAATCCTAAAATGGCATTTTAGGCATTTGATTCTCATTAAAAAGTAAATAATCTCACCAACTACAACTACTTTGTAAAAAGATTAAGATCATATTGAAAACAACACATAATTAAAAGATTAAAATGGAGACTTTTTCCAAGTGGGGGCCTCAGTGCTAAACATTAAAATGAATGGGGGCATTTTTCCACCATGTGCATGCGTTGAATTTTCCTACCACTAGAGTATCCTATAAAGAAAACATGCATATGACCAATAATAATGCATCCCACATTGTTCCTTCTTAAAACCCGAGAGTTATGGTTTCACTTGCACAACCTAAGCTTCCTGTTGTAGACTTCTCCAAGGAAAACTTGAAGCCTGGTACAAATTCTTGGCTATCGACACGGAATGAAACCGTGCGAGCTCTTGAAGAGTATGGTTGTTTCATAGCAGTGTATGATTCAGTTTCTTTGGAGCTTCACAATGCAAATTTTCAAGCATCCAAAGAGTTATTAGATCTCCCCACAGAAACCAAAATGAACAACACTGGTGATGCACCAAGAGAAACATTCCCTTCAAATTCTTTAACTTCTGGACACTTAACCCCAACTTCCTTCCCATAGTCTATCAAACTTGGCAACTGGATGTTGAAGGTTCAAGGATGTTCAAGCTTGTGCAGAAGCTAAGAGCACTCAAGCAACCACTTAAACTGTTAAACAAGAAGGAGTTCAGTGCTATTACTGAAAGGGCTACAACTTGTAGAGATGAATTGTATTCTTGTCAGAGGAGGCTTGATGCTAATCCAACAGATGATGCCCTTAGAGTCAATGAGAAGGAACTTTCATAGAAACTCTCTGATCTTTTTTTAGCAGAAGAAATGTTCTTTAAACAAAAAGCACAGGTCCATTGGCTCAAAGAAGGTGATCAAAACACTACCTACTTCATGAAGAGTTTTAATTCCAAGGCTATTAGAAGGAAGATTAAATCAATTTCTGACTCAAATGGAAACTTGATTCAAGGGCAGGAACTGTAGAGGGATCTTCTCAACCACTTCATTTCCATTCTTGGCCAATGTAGCAGCAGCTATCTAGGTATGAGTTCCTTTGCGCTAGTAATATCTAAGTTTGTCCTTTTCCAACTATTACCAACTCTCACAACCATACCCACATACCAAGAAATCCAGCCCTGCATCCTATCATTCCACCCTTATAAGAGTCGAGGACCAGATGGATTCAATTCTTGTTTTTTCAAGAATGCTTGGCCAATAGTTGGATAGGATGTCATTGCTGTAGTCAGAGACTTCTTCATCTCAAGCAGAATGTTGACAGAGATTAACTGTTCCTATATAGCACTGGTTCCAAAAACTCCTAACCCTTCATCAGTTAATGATTTTAGGCTCATCTCATGCTGCAACCTAATTTACAAGACTATTTCCAAACTGTTATCAATTAAACTTGCACCTATCCTTTCCCTTCTTTTAAGCAATACCCAAAATGCTTTCATTAAGGGAAGACATATCTTAGAAAATATTATACTTGCTCATGAACTGATGAATGGCTATCACAGAGCTAATCACCCTCCAAACTGTGCACTCAAAACTGACCTAAGAAAAGTTTTTGATACATTGCAGTGGCTGTTCATTTTGGATGCTTTGCATTTGTTTGGTTTCCCTTCTACTTTCATACATTGGATTGGACAATGCATAACCACAACATCATTTTCTATTTCTTTCAATGGGGAGCTGTTTGGTTTCTTTAAAAGGAAGAGAGGCATTTGACAAGGGGACCCCTTATCCCCTATGTTATTTGTCATTGCAATGGAGGTCATGACCTTGTGTGTTAATAAACACATTGAGACAAATCCAAGATTCAAGTATCATTGGAGATGCAAAAAGCAGTCAATCTCACACCTTACTTTTGCAGATGATATTTTGATGTTCTTCCATGCCAACACAACCTCAGTTCAAACTCTAATAGATGCCCTTAATCAGTTTTGCAACATATCTGGAATGCACCTCAACAGAACAAAGTTTAAGGTTTTCTTCAGTGGTGTAGACAATGCATTGAAGGCTGAAATTTTACAACTTCTACAATTTAAAACTAGTTCGCTGCCGGTTACATACCTAGGGTTACCTCTATCTTCTGCCTCAATCAAAGTAAGGGACTGTCAAACCCTAGTAGAGAAGATTACTGCAAGGGTAGGAAACTGGACTTCTAGATTTCTGTCCTATGCTGGTAGAGCTGTCCTTGTCAAGGCTGTGCTTTATTCAATACAAGTTTATTGGTCCTAAGCCTTTGTCCTACCAAAGAAGGTCATAGAGCAAATAAACCAAATCCTCAGAAGATTCTTCTAGACTGGGGTGGATATGAAAAACAAAGGAGCTAAGGTAGCATGGCAAGCTATCTGCAGGCCTAAAGCTAATGGTGGTCTTGGATTGCCTGACTTGGAATTAGCCAATAGGGTAGCCAATTTGAAACACATCTGGAATATTTGTTCGAAGAAAGACAGTTTGTAGGTGAATTGGACACTTAGCTACCTCATCAAAACAAAAAGTTTCTGGCCAGTGAAAGCTACTGGACTGAGCTCAGGATTTTGGAGGAAGCTTCTTGGGTTAAGATCCATGGCAAGAGGGCTGATAATGCACAGGGTTGGGGCTGGTAAGGATACTAGCTTATGGTTAGACTATTGGCTACCTAATGGGGCAATTGTGTAGCAATTGAGTCTCATTGGTGTGGAAATTCTTCAACTGGATAACAATATTCTAGTTGATAGCCTAATTTCCAACCACCAATGGATTCATCCAAACTCAATTCAGCTGTACAACTTTTTCTAATCAAGAAGCTTCATTTCACAGTTACATGAATTACCCTAGCCCTCTACTGATCCAGATTGCATTGAATGGTTACCTAGCTCTACAAAGGTCTTTACAATAGCACATACCTTTGCTTACTTCAGCCCCCCCATCCCTAATCTTTCCTTGGTACAAAGTGGTGTGGTTCAAACATCACATACCCAAACACAGCCTTATCCTTTGGCTAGCTGTTAGAGGGAGATTATATACACCTGATGCAAAACCAATCCTTTACAAGCACTACATAAACAGATGTTATCTCTATAATTCAGCATGGGAATCCATTGATCATATCTTCTTCAAATGTGACTACACTTCACACATTTGGAGGTTTATCCAAGAAACTGTTGGATTTTACATCATGCCAAACAGTTGGGCTGACTTACTGCTTTGGTGCTCAATACACTGGGCTTCAACACAATTCTTGCTTCACAAACTTCTTTGGGCTGCTGCAGTTTACTTCATTTGGATGGAGAGAAATGCTAGAGCATTCAAGAATCAATCCTCCACTGCCCACAGCATCATTGCTCATATTAAGACCTGTGTAAGAAGCAAACTTGCATCACTCAAGCTCAGGAGTAGTTCAGAATTGAAGCTGATCTCTTTTCCCTCACAGTTGCAGGCACTCTTCCAACAGGGCTGCTCCACATTTGGTGGACATCCCTGGCCCCTATCCTAAGCAATGGTGATGATTGTTCATGGTTAACGCTGCCATGGTAGAAGGCTAAAGAGGGTGGCTAATATTGTCTTTGTTGTTTGCTATTGTTTTCTTTTGTAGTTGATAAGGAAGTTGTTGTTCCTTTTGTTTTTCCCCCCTAGTGGGATTGTTTGTACATTCAATATTTATTTATATATACAAGCTTACCCTTTTTAACTAAAAAAAAAAGAACCTAGTCATGGCTATGTTGGACAATGGAATTTAATTCCTCTCTATGAAGGCTTGGCCATCCAAAATGCAACAACTCTAGAAACAGTTCAGAAATTCACTAATCTCATGCCCTCCGGAAATGATTTTTTTTGGTATAGTACATATTAGAAAAAACTTGCCAATCGTCACAACTTGATAATTTTCCCCCCAATAAATTTTCTTCATAATGTTTCATTAGAATTTTTAACTTGTACCTTTTTGTTTCACTTTATTGTTATAAATTTTTGTTCTTGGCTACTTTGTTCAAACTTTATTCTCTCATGGCCTGGCTTACTTCAAGCCTGGGCCTACTTATATAATATTGCTATGGGCTGTTTAGGTTCCCTCTTTATAATATTTAAATTTACTTTTCAAAAATATATATATATATATATATATATATATATATA